GGCCAGCAAACGAAGATGTCGGGGACCATTTCTCCGAGAGATAGGCTGCAGCTCTGGGTTAATATATTTTTGCTAAAGCAAAAGGAAAACTCAGGTAGCGTAACCGCTACCTTTCGTGACTTCCACCCATTTCTACTGCGTGAAGTGAAGCGGAGCTACATGGAACTTTGGCACACTGCGGCAGTCTTCCATCAAGTTCACCCTTGGATCGGCACGTCATCTGCCAAGGACGACCACGATAACCCACTGCACATTGGACTGTGCAAGTCTCACGAAAGCCAATTCCAAAGCAGCTGTGCGCCAACGACGGGTCTGATGATTGCAGATTGCATTGCACCTCCATCACCAGCAGTCTGCCCACCACTGTGGCAATCGAATTGGGTGAGGCCTGCCAACACACAGAGAATTGACCCAGGCTTCGTCCAGTGATGACACCAAGATCATGTACAGCAAGTGATTCGTTCTCCACAGAACTTGCAGCTACTCTGCTCTGCAAACCGACGACCAAGGTCGCATCAGATTCATTGCAAGACAGCGAGCCAATCTCACCAATTAGGACCTCATTGGACAGAGAGAGGCCCATGCCTTTCACTTGCAGTATGCAAGAATCACCAGCCATGCAATGCCAGTGCTGCCTGCCTGGACCAGGCCCAAAAACACGAAGGTGTCCAATATCCACTTGATATTTGGACGGCGCCTCCCAATCTCCACCTTGAAAATCCCAGCAAACACGGTAGTCCGCTGCAGCACCTTGCAAAACCGTTCCCAAGTCGGCCGAGCCGGTGTCATTGACATCACTCTGAACCAGTGGACTAGGCACGTGGATTTCTTGGTCTATGTCTGAACCATCCAAACGAAGATCTTCTGCTAAAGCAGAAGCGCCGGCCAGTCCCACCAAAGCATATGAACTGCCATCTTGGAAGGAGCGTGCATCAAGAGCTCCCAGGTATTCAAGAGCCTCCAGAAACTTCTCATCTCGAAATGCGAACCCCGAATCATCAGCCACTGCAACAACAACTAAGGTGCCTGGAGGTTGCGCCCTCAAGATTGCAGCAAGCTCATATGGTGTCAAAGCAGCCTCTCCCGTAGAATACGTTTTAGCTTGATTTGCCATCACATGCTTTGTGAAAACAACTGCGCGCACACCATCAATGGCCTGCAGCAGTTCTTCTTCTTCGCTCCCAGTCTGTATGCGAACATGGCAGTTGGTGGATCCATTGAAACTACTCGCCACCAACAACTTCGAGGAGACGAGTGGAGCAACTCGCAAGCCGTGCCCGCAACTGTCAACAGCGGCTATGACCGCACTCTGTTCTCCAAGCTTGTAACCCCCCAACGTCAAAGCGCATGCCTCGCCAAGGGTGCAATCAAAGCTTTGTTGCTGCTGTGGGCCGCGCAACTCCACTGGGCCCAATTCGAAGGCAAACGTGACTTGCTGAGCTTCCAGGGATCGAGCTCCATGTCCACGCAGCCTCTCTGGGTCAACTTTGTCGCAACAACATCCAACCAACGTCATTCAAGCATCAAAAGCCAACATGTACGGAAGTTTTGTCGGATGCTCAAAAATGTATCATCGATGCGCGGCCTGCTCTAAAAGTGGTTGAAATGTTGAACAAGGAGGTGTTTGTACCCCAAAAAGTGCTTTCAGACAAATTACAAATTTCGCTGGTTGACCCCACATGATCTGTTTGCTGAGTGTTGTTCAAACGATGAGGAACCACTTGTCGTGCTGCTGTTCCTACTTTGGAACCCCTTTGCATTGTCTGAATTCAGCTCTCTCGTTACTGCTCCCCCTTGCGACCGCATTTCTGCCACGACGTAACCTATATACACAGCGCAGCTCACAAATCCACACAGCCTCCAACAGCTTCACGTGTGATCTCATGTGTTGCAGCGTCCGGTCTGGTACCATCCTCGCTGCCTCCATGGCCCGGATTTGCTCATCGTTGTTCAAAGTTGCCAAAGTAGGTTTTTAAGCGTTGGGTCAAACGCCGCTGCGCCGCCCTGAAGGATGTTCGTCGTGGTGCACTAGCCGGCGCTACTTTTACAACACTGCAACCTGCTGTTGAACATGCCCAATGCCGATTCTGCTCCCTAGACTTGTGAACTGTGACCCTCCTGCTTTTGTCCAAGGCACCCACCCTTGTATCTGCTGAAGGAAGTTGCATAGGGTTTGCAGATTGCTGCAGTGGACAATTAAATATTCAGGCACTGCGGGGCTATTTTCAATCTGCTAGCCCTTCCCCACGAAGTTCTCAATGCCAGCAAGAAAGATGGGGGCATCAGTTTCCAGCAATGTAACGGCTGAGCTTTGGAATTGTGATCCTTAAGCCAGTTCTTGATGTTGTTTCCACCTGAAACCCTGACCTGTGCTTCAAAGCTTTTGCCGACCTTGCGCAACCTAAACGGCCCCAAAGGGCTGTGCGGATTTCACCTGATTTTCAGGTTGCCATTGAGAAAACACCAGACTTGCAACGAAGCAGAGTAGCCTGGCAGCCTGGCAACTAGCATCTTTAGTTATCTATCTGTTGTACTCATATAATTTGATATAGTTTGTGCGATCCGACACGCCACCATCCAACTGAAGCTGCACTAGGGGTAGCTGGTTGAAGAATTGGACAGCAAAAGTGCAAACACACTGCAAACAAAATTTATGTTGATTCATGTAATGTGCGCAAAACCACGGGCAAAATGTAAAACCATCGACAACTTGGCCAAACATTTGGTGGAATGTGAACCAGGTCAGCTTCACTTCTTGGCAAAAAACAACCCTTCTTACGCTTGGTTGCATGTCAATCCCTCCTGAGCATAAAAATGATGACATATATAGTTCAAGGACATTCAAGTCAATGTTTGTGTGGCTGGTCTTGTCTTGAGGATTGACCCACGACTTCATTCCGGCCTCACCTGGTTTTAGTTTGCATCCTCCTTCCAAGTGTGAAAACAAGTTGATGAAAAAAACACACATTCCACGGCATTGCGCGGGCTGCTGCCCTTCCAGCCTCGCCATGCCAGCCGCAGATTCGGAACCCCAACAAAGTCTGAATACTCCGGGGTGCCCTGTGAGTGGAATACCAAATTCATAGGATTGCAATGTGCTGGGCACTGCAGTCAATGTTTCAGGTACATAGAAAGGATTGGCAGGATTGCGTAGGTGTGGGCCAGTCCAATCTGCAACCCTAGATGGATCACCACAGGCCACATCATCATCAGGAGAAATCAAAGCTGCTGGAGAACTGTGTGCAGGCATGCGTGTGATCTTGAGGGAACATTGGACACCCAGCACACAATCAAAGTTGGATGGTTCTGGGCCCTGTATGCAACAGCCCGAAGTTCCGTTCAAAAGAAAATCACCCAGCTCCGCGTTGGAATCAGCAGACGCATTGGCCGAGCAATCTGCCTTGCATATGTAGCTGGCTTCGACCACGCAAGACTTGCAACCCTCACTGAAGGCATCACACAGCGTTGGCCAGTCTCCTGGTCGACATTGAAAAACACGAAGCTCTTGCAAAAAGTGATTTAAACTAATGTCTGTCCCAACTCAGTCTTCACCCATTGCCACAATATGCCACAACCAACAACTGTGTTTTTCCCATGAGACGCAAAACCGTCTTTCGCGCGAAGGGCGACCCGCTTCAACAAACACATTGTCTGAGAAGTGACTTGCAAGTCAATAATTGGTGAGGTGGGACTCAGTGCTCTCTTGTTTTCTGGGAAGTGACAATTTGCAATGCTAATCTGCTAGTTGAATCAAAAGACCTGGAGTGAAACACAAACTTAATAAAACTTCTGTGGCAAGCCCAGTCCTGCAACCCCATCGCCACATGTGGTTGCAATGCAAGGCGATCCAGGTGATTGACATATGAAGCCAGCTTCAAGAGTACAATTAGCAGAGCACCCATCAAAGTCTTCAGAGTTCCCATCGTCGCAGTCCTCTGAACCCGTCAGGTGTCCGTCACCACAGTCTGGAACAGTCCGATTTGAGCAGTCCCATCGAATCTCAGGCGGTGCAGCGTAGATCAAAAAGCTGATTGATTCGGCCTCATCCGAAAAACCCGGTCGGGTTTCTGGAATTCCTTCCCGAACCGACCAAAGTACACACGAGTCCCAATCATCAGCAGCAACTCGACAGCTGAGCACCAACTCATGATCTGAGTTGTTGTGAAACCGCACTCGGAGCTGATGTGGACCCGACAGCCAAGCCGTTCCTGGGAGCACATCAAAAACAGGGCCTTGGGTCAAATCGACATCGTATCTTGCAAGAGTTTGATTGAGATCGGAAATGGTCAGGAATGTCAAACGTGATTCACCTCTGCAAGCAGTAAAAGCACCTTTGGAAACAGTGCCACTACCATCGTTGGTGAACTGGAAACAAAGCCTATAGCCTTGCATATCAAGTAAATCTGAGGATGGTGGTTGAGGCATTTGATGTGCTTGCATCCACATCATCTTCATCTCCAGGTCATCGGAAGACATGGGTTTTGCTACTGTGTCCAGTCGCTGGCACTCAGCCAATCGACAACCTGAAGTGCAGCCTATGAGCAGGCCACCGTCATCGCACTCTTCGACCCCTGCAAAGACTAGGCCGTCACCACACTTTGGCTGACATTTTCCAGGGGCGCGTTCCCATCCCGGTTCAACAGCGACGCAACCTCTGCAAGCACCAGTCGGCTTTGGACCTTCGTCGCAGAACTCCCCGAATTCAACTATGCCATTCCCACACTCAGCCGAGAGCAATCGTTCAGCTCGAGCCTCCTCTTCCCACTGTGTGAATAAATCACTTGTGACTCCACTGCCGGGGGTCCAGCTGTCAATGGGAAACTGGCCATAGGAGCCTTGCCCACAACGGCTCGAACTGTGAACGCCAGCGCCTGGAATGCTGCAAAACCTGAAGGCATCTGATGCATCAGCATCCTCCACTCTTGTGGCACTGTATCGTCCATTCCGAGACTGGCAAAGGTACACAGACTCAACAAACTCTGGGGGAAGCTGCATAGGCAAAGATGACTCGTCTGCCAGATTCACATCCCATGCAAAAACACCTTGTAACCGCAGGAATTCAGAGGGGCGTCGAATCACCACCACTGCATCATCTATCTCCCGCCAAACCACCAGCTCATTTGTACGTGACTCTCTGTACCGAGTCAGAATCTGAGCTGTGCAACTTGGAGGGGGAGGACATAAGAAAGGCAAATGCATATCCAGGACTTCAGTGTGAAACTGTTGGAGAACGCTGTTGGCACCTAATATCTGGTCGCGCACATGCATGAGATCATTTAGCACAGCCACATATGCCTTCCGCACATACTCGAGATCTGCCGCACTAACTGCACTTCCCATGCTTCTTTGTTCTCGCACCATGTTGGAGACCTGTTTCCAAACGGAGCTAACGCGACGGGCAAGGGTCAGAGGTTGTTGCTGCATTTTCTGCAAAAGAAGGGACCGAATCTCCTTTGCAGCTTCAGGACCAAGCATCCCACCACACGCATTTGGACTTGACCACTCACTTGCCATTCTGTTCTTGATGCTAAGGACTTCCTCTTGTCTTACGGCCACCGCAGTAGTGTCAAACTGATTTCGCAACAGCTGTCCATCCACGAGAATGCTCGACAGGATGGCGAAGTGGTCTCGAATGATTCGCCAATGACTTTTCAGCTCACTCAGCACACCAACCTTTGAGGCGTGACCCTGGTCGAAGGACTCAGCAAATGCGTCAGACCCGGACCTGCACACTACATAGTCTGTAAATGACTGCAACAACTGTCGCGCCTGCGCTGTTGCATTGGGAAGCCAGTGCTGATTGAAGTCCAAAAAGGCTCCATCTATCAGGAGCGAAGATGCTTTGAATTCGTGCGCAACCTCCTTCAAATGAAAATCTTTGCCCTGTCGCAGCACATCCTCTGCCAGGCTCAACGATGAGTCGAGGTTCATGTTCAAAGCTGCAATCGACTCAGCTAGTCGCTGCTGTCCTGCCAACACCTCTTGGTTCAACTGGAGGACATCGGCATGCACAGCAGCAACAGCCTGATTTGCACTTTCCATTTCTTCCACCAGCTTCGCATTGCTTGATGCCAGGGCTTCTAAGGTTTTCTGGTTTTCAGAAATCTCCGTTGACACACTACTCATGCTGCTGGCAGCTGCTGCAAACCCCTCATCGAGTTCCAGAGCAATACGATCTGTCCCTTGCAACAAGGTCTCCATGGGAACAGCCAAGGTTTGCACCACCTCACCCCGGAGCTCATTTAACGCCTCCTCAACAGTAGAGACTGCTGCCTCCCTTCCTTTCACGACTTCGGATTTCAGGTCTTCTAGTATGGCTTTCTTTTCGGATGAAGCAGTTTCAATGGTGGCAGCAAGCAACTGCTCCAATCGTTTAGACCGGACTACAGCTTGCGCCTCTACAGTCTCTGATTGCGTTTGGAGCTCACCTGACAGTGTTTTGGATAATCTCAACACCATGTCCTGAATGCTTCTAACATCATCACGAGTCTGAGTCTGCAGAAGGTCGATGAGACTGTCGGAAATGTCCTCCGCCTTTGACGCAAACAAGTTGCCTGTGTCGCTCAGGGCAGTCTGGACATCAGCCACCATGGCTGATACTTCTGATCGCACAATGCTGCCAACATCATCTGTCTGCACCTTGATCCTTCCAGTTATGCTTTCAACTGCCTTGGATAAGCCCTGGAATATGAACTGCTCCCTTTTTCTTTCGGACTCTTGCACGGCATCACTCAGCTCCTCAATCACACTATTCGCCGCATCACTCAAACGATCTTGCAAGCGCCCCTCCATAAGCTTCAAGTTCAGAGTGAGGTTCTGGAAACCTTCCCGAAGGTCTGCCTGAATGAGAGATATCTGACCAGTGAGCTGACCTGTCACTTGATCAATATGACTCAGCACGGCTTTCCGGTTTGCATTGGCTGTGCAGCGCAAGTAGGCTCGAGAATCCTTCCGTTTCTTTTCTAACTCAGCGACTATGTGATGGGCTACGGCATGTCCGTGCGCTTGAAGCTCATCGACAGATTCCTTGGCTATTTGCTGCATAGCTCCCGTCAATTCCTCTGTTTGCTTGTCAATTCTGTCGTTCAAATCCTTGAAGCCATCCGCCACAGTGGTCTTCAGCGTATCGATCTTGCTGTCAATTAGCCCCACCTCTTCCAGAATCTCATCAAGCTGCTTGCTCATGCAAGCGCTCATCTGAAAATCAAAGCCAGCGAGTCCGGCGTCACTCATAGTCACCATGGCACAGTATCCAGCCGTGGCACTCAATGTTGCGCATTCCTGCACTGATAAGGCAACAATTTGATCCTCTGCCAAGCTGCGACCATGCTGGACTTGCTGGGGCACGGCAGGAGCCCATAGTTCGCTTTCCTCGCTATTTGTGGAGATATTGGACCACAAGGCATGCAAACGGCGCGCCTCTGTGCACCGATCATCTATGCCAGTGCCGAGCACGTCGTCGCACCCTGGGGCTGAGCACGGCCGCTGGGTGCGAGGGCGTTGAAGACCCCTTTCGAAACAAGCTGATTCTGGGCCATTGCAACTGACAGTCCTCGTTTGGATACCAATATCTGAGCAAGTTGATGCTCCATGGCAAGCACTCCAATCCGAGCGGACCCATTCACAGCTTCCTAACACAGTGCAAGGCTTTGTGTTGGCTGGTTCATCCGCCAGTGCCCGGCACCTCTCAGTCTCTTGATGAGAACAGGTCACAGTGCGTTTGCGAAAACCTGTGTCCCCACAGCTGCTAGAATGCGATGCGTAGCAGCGACTCCAATTTGTAAACTTCCACATCGGGATGCTCTCGCAATGCTCTACGAGCTGCCGCTTCATCCGATCTTGCGCTTCGTACCCACAATCTGTGTCTGCATTGGCTAAGCCACACGCTGACTGGAAACATGTGCTTTGGGACATATCAACAGCTGACTGAAGCGCTGGCTCAAGTTCAACGCTGCCCGATTGCTGCAAATCTGATGCCTTGTTAAAGTTATCACACATGGTTTTCATTTCATCTCCACCCGAGGGCTTCTTCCGACCGCCAGTCCATCCTGCCTCTCCGAAGCAGTTGCGGGATTGGCCAGTCCAGCAGGACCCAAAAGGGTCCATCTGATAAACATCACATTGCGCGTCATGGGCACAAAAAGTTTTGCAGGCATGCTCTGATTGCATTCCATTCTGGAACATATCACCAATGCATCTTAGATTCAATCCCTGAGTATCCCAAAGGAGCTTGTCTTTGTGAACGCATGTTTTGCCTAGCCCTACAGTTGCTCCTTCGATCTTGCTATATCCAGCCTTGGCAGAACGCAAATAGCATGAGCGTCCTTGCTCAGTCTGTCGTATGTACCATCGGGAACACATTTCACAAGCTACACACCGAGCATCGCATTGCGCTTCCCAAAACACAATTCGGCCATCATCGCACTCGTCAAGAGCATCATCCTGCGCGATTGGCCCCAACCCTCAAGATTCAACTACGTGTTAGCCTCTTTTATTGACATTCACTCTGCAAAAGAGCCGTCCCCTTAAAAGAATTCCGACCCAAGCAACCAAAATAGCCTGGGAAAAAAAAAACACTGGCAAAAACTAACTAACACATGACAAAGGGAGGGGCTGCGAGGTGTGAATTATATCACCTGTGATATGGTGAAGTCTCGTGTGTAGTTGGTGATGTCGTGAAGCGTGTGCATGGAAGTCTGTGCTCTCGTGAAGTGCGTGGTGTGGTGTAGTGACAGTGTGATGATTTGTAATGTGGTGAAGTGAAGTATAATGGTGCTGTGGCTGACTGCAACGTGATGATTTGTGATGTGGCGAGGCATCATGCGCAGTGCACTTTTCTCACCAAAAGTCGATATTCGACCTTGCTGCACGCCTGTCTCGAAATCTATGCGCTCATCCCGAAGTTGTCCTTCCTGTCGTTGACTTTTCATCTTGAGACCATTGTTGATTGCTGTATCCAACCGATCACAGTAATTGACGGACAAAACATGGTGAATGTACCTGAATCATAGAATGTGGCAGTCGCTGGTATGAGACTTCAATTGAGAGCGATCTGCTTTTGTGTGTGTCGGCAGAGCCTTGAGGCTAGGACACTAGTGGCTGACCACTCAAGATTGGAACATTGTTCTGGAACAGTTGTGGGGAAAGCGATGGTGCAAACACAGCGATGTCGAAATGTCAAAAAGGCGACGAACCGCGGCATTTGCTGATGATACCTGAAGCGCCCGAACCTGATCTCCGGGGGTCTTGCAAACCTGAAGGTCTTAGTCAAGCTGATCTGATGCCGCGAGGCGATGCTTGGTTGAAGTCTTCTTCTTGCATCGTCGAAGATGGTGGAGCATGGCCGGCTCAGTTGTTGGTGGCTTTGGTCGACTGTCAAGAAAAGGAAGGCAGGCCAGTTGGCCAATACTGTTGCTGGGTACCGTTTATCCAGTGTGGGCCGTTGGGTTGGAGTGTGAGCGCGGCAGTTTCTTGAGAGGCTGTCAATCATGATTGCCAAGGACAGTTCGAGCAAATGGCAAACAAATGCAGACAGTACAATCAGAAGTTGAAACTGTGTTTCTGGAGGGTATCCCGCTTTGCGGGGGGCGGTCGCTGACCTGGTATATAACCTACTTCTGTCTTGGTGCGCCCGCTGGTGGTCGCTGTCCGCATACTTCCGGAAATCCGTACTCTGTTCTCTAGAGATACCTTGCTGCTCGCTAGTCTGAGCAACGCGCAAGCAGCACATACAGCTTGGCTACTCTGTGGGTCTGGATTGAATCTTAAAAAAATAACATTGTTCTTCACATGTTGATTGGACAAAACGTTGGATTCAACTCATGCTGGTATACATATATACGGCACTTTGGAGATGTCGTAAAATTCCGCTGCCACTCCGTCAGTCCCAGCCAGAATCCCTCTCGCTTGACAAGTGACAAGCATACCAACCACTACACAAATTGTATTATATTCATAGCAGTGGTGAGCATGGGCAACACGCAGTAGAAACATGTAAAAGAATAGCGATGGCCTCCAACCTATAATGATAACGATGGCCGGCCTCCAACATATATTAAAAGCGATGGCCTCAGGCCTAAAGTGATAGCGATGGCCTCAGACCCAAATAGCACTGGCCTCCAACCTATACAGCGATGGCCTCCAAACTAAAATATATCGATGGCCTCCAACCTATATTTAAAGCGATGGCGTCAGACCCAGAAAAATAGCGATGGCCTCCAACCTAACAGCGATGGCCTTTAGCCTAATAGCGATGGCCTCCAACCCAGTAGCGATGGCCTCCAACCTAATAGCGGTGGCCTCCAACCTGATAACGATGG